TTTCTTATACTCAGGAAAACAAACAAAACTCTGCCTTATTTTCTGTCAGTGCTTCTCATATATTTTACAAAAGTATACCTAATGGTTTGAAATTTCAGTGTTTATCCTAAATTTCACATTTTTTATGTTCCTCCAAAAAAAGTCTATATTTTCTTATGAAAAACAAAGTGCAAATAGCTATTATCAAGTGGCTCTGAGACTTCAAGGAAAAAAGAAGCTTTATGTCCCATGCCTTTGTGCTTCTGGCACACAGCATGCTCTCCTTTTGCTACTAAGATATTCACACCATCTCTGAGAGGCACTGTCAATCCTAGCACTTGGCATCCTTCTTACCAGCTCTTCCACTTTGTAGCTGTACAGTGAGACCACAGCACTCATGCAGTGCAGAGATCTGATCACTGGTGGAAGCCATATGCCTATGTAGTGCTGACGAACATGCCCACGACCAAGGCAAATAAAGGGCAGGGTGCTGTGAACTTCTGAAGTGCATTTGCCATCAGAGAAAGCCAGAGTTCCTTAATGGGGGATAAACAGTGCCGTAATTCATCCCTTTTACTTAAAAAGGGGGACATTGAGAGATTGATCTGCACAAGTCAATAAAGTGAATAGATTAAACCATACTTGATTTGTGATCATTTATTTATATTCAAGATATTCTTGTTTTCAAACTTTTGCTCTTTTGATGTAAGTGACTGACAGTCAGCAACTGAATTGCAAGTTCCCTGTACCAGGAGAAAAACTGTTTAATGCTGTAGGTCAAGGTATACCAGCATGTCTGTTCTGCAGACATCAGGGTTAAACCTCACTGCTTCATCCAAGCTGAGTCTACCCAAATATTTAGTTTCATATGCATCATCTACTCTTGATACCTATAATCAACTACATATAAAAATAATCTTTTCTTATAAAACCATCATTTATGTGTATGGGAGGCAGGACTGGACTACTATAAAATATCTATTAACTTTGGTGAGTTATCACAGACCATCTATCTCCAACAGACACAGATTTCATTTTCAAGCACTTTTTAAAGTTATATTTTGACCCCTTTCTAAGTCAGAATGTCTTAAAAAGCACAGACCTCAAAGTCAAGAATTCTCTGATGAGAAGTATACAGTTGTGTTTCAATGCTTTTATAGTTGCAGTCCTCAAAACAGGAAGTTATTGTTATTTGATACAATTGGCCCAAATCTCCTAACATAAAGCTTTTCATAAATAAATCCAGTTTATTAGAATATTGTCTTAGTTATTGTTTGTACTGCTGAGAAGAGATACCATGACCAAGGCAACTCTTATAAGAACAACATTTAATTGGGGCTGGCTTTTAGGTTCTGAGGCTCAGTTTATTATCATCATGGCGGGAAGCATGGTAGCATCCAGGTAGGCATGGTGCTGGAAGAGGTCAAAGTTCTACATATTCATCCAAAGGAAGCCAGGAGCAGACTGTCTCCCAGGTACCTAGGAGGAAGGTTTCAAAGCCCACCCCCAAAGTGACACACTTCCTAGAACACGGCCACACCTACTCCAACAAGGCTATACCTCCTAATAGTGCCACTGACTGGGCCAAGAATATTCAAACCACCACAAATATCATCATACTTCAAAAGTTTTTAATATGCCAACAACCATGCCTTGGCTTATTCTAGACTTCCTCTCAAAGCATATGGGCAATCAAGAGATGAATATTTAGAGGTTTACAAACAAGGCAGACACCAGGTACATACTTCCCAATCCATCATTTCATCAGAAAAACACAGCAACTTTTCAGTTTATTTGCTTTATAACTCTTATTTTTAAAATACATCTTGCTTATACAAACAATAAAACTATATCTAAAATGATAAAAAAATTTGAATGCAGATAGAAATAAATTACTTTGAATATTTATAATTTTTAAATTTATTTTTATTTTTAGTTATGTCTGTGTATACTTCTGAGTACAAAAGCCTAAAAAGTCAGAGGTATTGGATTCCTCTGGAGCTAGAATTACAGGTAACCACCTAGAGTGGTCCTGGGAATAACTGGATCTATTTTGGAAGAACAGCATACGCTCTTAACTCTTGAGGCATCTCACAAGCCCAAATAATTGCAAATTTTAGCATATCAACAGATGGTGATGAATCCCTTTTGAGTATCTTTTAAAGATCTTTGGAAGACTCTGTCCCTTAACTGGGATAAGTCCTATGGGCAAAACAAACCATAAAGAAATCTGTCTCTACTCAGAAATTTTCCTACTTGTAAAGGAAGGAAGGGAAACTACCCTTGTGCAAATGACCACAGTACCAAAGTTACTGGGCCATGCATTTGCAGAGGTGCATTGTGAGGTTGTGAGACAAAGGATGAAATATATAAGTCAAACATAAACAGCATGCAAATGTAGAGAGCGTGGGTAACTGGTCACTGGACACTTATTTTAACTCTCCACTGGTCTGGATGTCCTTTTTTTTTTTTTTTTCTAGTGTAAAACACACAGGAATTGAAATTCTGACTTCCCATCTATTGAAGCCATGCCAACTAGGATTCGTAGGCTAGCTAATTCCAACACATTTTTCCCAATTGTAATTAACAAGAGAAAGGCTGAATATCTTAGACACTTTGTTTACAACGTATCTCTGGCAAGAGTGTTTAAGTTGTGCACTATCTTTTGGCTGGAGAAGAGGCCTCTCTTCAGTCTCTCCTCTCCCAGCAGGGAGCTGAACCCATGCCAGCCTTGGTCATCTCCTGACCACTTGAAGTCTTGTCTAGCTCTTTGCCTGGCTGGTGTATTACTGCACATCAGCTCCAAGGACACTGCTAACCTTACTGCCTGGCCTCCGTTTCTCCCTTTTCACCATTCTCTTACTGTTTATTTACGCTAGTAAAGTACATTATTTCAGCTACCCAGCACAGCACCTCAGTGTTTTAACACTCTTTCCTTTCACATTTATTTTATGTTTGAAATTAAAATCTAATAATAATTCACTTTCCTCCTTCTCTTTCTTCCTTCCAGTACCTCCAGTGTAACCACCCCTTCAGCTCATCTCACATTCCCCCATGCACAAACTGATAGTATCTTTTTCTTTGGTTATTTTTGTTACAAATGTAAATGTAAAATGGATAATGTCCATATGTCTGTCTGTCTGTCCATCTGTATATATGTAGACACACAAATATACACATATATGACACACAAATATACACATATATGTATATGTACCTATATATATGATATCATATATATGATATATATGATATATATGATATATATGTATATATGTATATATGTATATATGTATATGTATATATATATATATGTAAATTTAATCCACTGAGTCCATTTTGTTGTTTATGTATATATGGTTCCATGGTTCCAGGTTGGACCACTTTGTATTAGACAATAATTCATTGGAGGCATCTTTTGACTATGCTAATTCTTCTTTCCCTAGCAGTGACTAGTTTCTTGTAGTTCTATTTTCCATTCTTTCTTAAAAGAATATACTTGAGGGGCTTTAGAAATGGTTCATGTGTTAAGAGGACTGGCTGCTTTTCCAGAGAACCTAGGTTCAATTCCCAGAACCCATGTGGTAGCTCACATCCATCTGTGATTCCAGTTCCAGGGGACACTGTCCTCTGACCTCTGAGGACACCAGACACGCAAGTGGCACACAAACATTTATACATGAGAACACAATGCCCGTATGCATACAACCCTAAAAAAAAGAAACAGAAAACAAACAACAACAGCAACAACAAAAAACCTGGATTCAAAGACTTCTCCATTCTCATCAAATAGAATTATACCTCATAATCTCACCATAAATGCACCACCAGCCTCACAGGAAACAGTCTGTAATTCCTTTCTCTGAACACGGTCCACTCTCAGTCAGAGGGCTGAGCATGCCAGTCTCCACAGTTACTCATTCTAACACATTGACCTTGCCCTTTCAAGCATATGCAGGTTCAACAGGAACTCCCTTTCCTCTTCAATTTATATATTTTAAGATTTTCACAATGTGTTGTATGAAAATTTAGATATGTGCATATACCTGGTCAAAGTTTTAATGGCATGCCTCAAGACTCAAAATTGGAATACAACTTATACTCCTGTATAATCCTGATTGTAAATCTGGCTTGCATCTTATGAAGCCTGTGGCATAGAACCACCAAACCTTGGTCCTGAAGCACACATGTTTACAGACATCACAAATTAGCCCTGCAATACTCTCATATGCACCCACTCCTAGATGCATATGATAAGTGACAAGTCAACATAATCCAGAAAGTCTGACCATGCCATTAGGGAAGATACTGAGATACTGGGCCACTGAGCAGATCTATTTCTGCTTTCTTTTAAGCTGCCTTCTATGTCTTAAACAATGTCTTAGTTGAGTTATAATCTCCTGGCCCACACTGGTCCAAAATGCCCCTTCATCTAACACCCTTCTGGAAAGTCACACCCATATAGCCCTACTTACTTTGGGTACAAGAGTAATGTTTTTTGGTTTTTTTTTTTAAGATAGGTAAGCATCTTTCCTTGACAAAGACTTCCTGTTGCTTCTTTTCATAAAGCAGGTTTGGCTTTTGATATGCCAAGGATGCTCCCTGGGAAAAAGAGGGACTTCTCTTCTTGTCTAATTTGCTTTTGAAAAGTATTCAATTATGTTTCTAGTTTAATTCACTTAACAATGAAAGGTAAATGAGTGCAACAAACATGTTTGATTTGTCTTGGAAAGAGAGACAACTTTGCAAGAACAAACAAAGTTAAATTAAAATAAGTGATTCTACTCCATGGTGGGATTAAATTCCTACCTACCCCCAAACTTCCTAACATCTATAAAATATAAGGCAGATACCAGAAAGACAGAATGCTGCTACACAGCAACCACTGACTGATGGTCTGTGTGGCAGGGCATGGGCATATCTATGGAAACCCTTACATGCCTACATATTCCACTGACATGAGCAGAGAAGGGACTGGGGCCTGGGGCTCACATCATCCCAATGGCGGGCATTCCACCTACCGTTTTTGCAGATCGGGCAGCACTGATCAGGCTCATACACGGGGTCCACACATTCCGTCTGGGGACACGCCGACACTGTGCACAGCACTTCACCATTGGCTTCACAGCGACACCGTTCACATGGAGACACCTGAGACACAAGCCCACGATCAGGGTCACACCTCCCTTACACAGTCCTTACCCTATAAGTCATATCTTTATTTTTAGTGATGAAGTCAGCCAGGTGTTTTAGGAATGGCATTTTTAAGTGCTTGATACCAGTATGTTTTCAAATGTGGACTCAAGCTCCTGGTGTTTACAGGTTACCTTATGTTTAAATAAAGGCATTCATTAGGGCTTGTGGCTCTGCTCAGCCTCTCAGCTTCAGTTGGGGCAGCTCTTGGCTAAAGGGACTTCTTTGTAAGCATCTCTTTGAGGAAATATTTCAGTTGCTTCTAAAATCAAATTGCCACTGATTTCTTGCTCAACAAGGCCTCACTGTTCCAAAGCCCTGTTAAGTCTGGATTCACTTAACCTCACATGGATTGTTCCCAATATTGCTTAGAGCAGGTGCTCAAGTGGAAGGGAAAGCACAAGACACTCATGGTCCTCTGAGGTGTGGAGCCCTTTGCTAGGAGCTATAAAACTCTGATTTCCCAGAGCTCTTAGAGTGATACTAAGTACCCTCCTGAAATGGTTGGCCCTGTTTACTGGTAAGAAAACCAAGATGGGGAGGGATTAGGCAACTTGTCTTCACCAGCTCTCCTAAGAGAAAGCCAAGATGCTACAGAAGGCTCTTGACTGTAGGTTCATGCTAGCTCTCCCTTCTCCAAGGTCCCAGGGGGTTATTCTTCATGTCAACAGTGGCACCATGTTTTTTATTGGAACCAAGGTTTTAAGAGGTATCAGGGTCTCTCTGTCTGTCTATCTCTCTTTTTCTTTGTCTCTGTCTGTCTGTCTGTCTGTCTGTCTGCCTGTCTCTCTCTCTCTCTCTCTCTCTCTGTATGTGTATGTGTATGCAGCATTTCTCTGTCTCTTTGTGTATGTAAATACATAGAGAGAGAGGGGAAAGGAAAAGACAAAGAGAGGGCGAGGGAGAAGAAAAGGGAGAGGGAGAGGGAAAGAGAAAGGGAGAGAGAGGAGAAACTTAAAAATTTCACAATACTGTAGAATAAAATGTTGGGTTAGTTTGCAAGTTAAAACCAAGTTTACATTATAAAGGGACAAGTTTAAAAAGTGTTTTTGGCACAATATAGTTTGAGGGATTTTTTCATTGCGGCTTTCCTAAGTTTTCTCTGGTTACAGCATTGCATCTCTGTTTCAAGAGCAGATGTAGACAGTAAATAGCATTAGGAAACTATTGTGAGTTTTTAAAGCAAAGACCTTGAGTTGCAAGAGAAACTGTCAAGTACATGTCAGATCCTTTAGCTGGAAGGACTTCAGGCAGAAGCCAAGAAGCCCAGATGGTATGGATTAGAGATGCAGAGCCATGCTGCCCCAGGAGAGCAGAGGTTGAGTTAGCAAGGGGCAGGAAAGTCACATATCTGCATATGTCCTTAGGAAGCTGCTCAATAGCTAGACACCACCCTTCAGCTAGGTCAGATTCTAGGTCGAGAGGATGAAGCTCCACATGGGTTGAATTTAAAGGAGACAAAATGGGGTGTATGTCATGTTCCTAGGCAAAATATGCAGTTGAAAATTAGACTGTTCCCCATATTTAGGCAGAGGACTATGGAATTAGGTGATAGGGAATGTGTATGATTTTGGAGGAAGTGTCAGACTGCATGTCATGCAGGAGACAGGAACATAAACACTCAATGGGCAGTTCTGAAGTGGATCTGGGTCCTGGGCAAAGTGGGAACCCCATCATTATTCATGAAAGATGGACATTTAGAAACAAGGGGTCTGTAACTTGCTGGTGCCACTGGTAGCCTAGAGAACTTGTGCCTAGGTCAGAGCAGCAGGGCACAGGACACTTGAGGGTACTCTCAAGTAATAAAGAGATAGGAAACTTCCTGTCACCAGCTTCTCTTTTTTAGGAGCTAGGATGGCCTGAGCCTGGCATCAGAGTAAAGACAGCCCCAGTGTGGGAGCTGATGAGAGTAGATATGTGTGCATGGGAGTAGAAGGGAGAGTGGCTAGAGACATGTTCAGAGTAATTCTGATGGGGTGCTAATCCTGGTGTTTGAGAAATAAATCCTCCACTTCTCAACTTGCCATCAATTAGGCTATGTTTGGTGAACCAGGCATGCCTCAGAATAATGCTACCTTCTGATCATGAAGCTCAGGGATACTTATCATTACTTTTAATTTTCTACTCTTGACTTGTGCAGACCCTTTAAATGTTGTACTGAATTTATTTCTGCTGTCTACAGATCGAGCTGAGATGTCTCCATCAAAGCACGGATAGAGCTGGAGTCTTTCCTCCTGTAAGCCATCACTCAACTCCATCTTCCAACTTGCTAGATGGCCCTCTTACAGCATATGAAGTGTTGCTAGGTTTAAAAATAAAATGCAAAAACTCAGTGTCTATGGGACTTTAGGAGCTAAGCAAGGAAGAAATAACCAAGCTCAGCATCAGCGGAGCACATTGAAAAGTGACCACCTGTTATGCTGATGGGGACCTAAAGGGACTTAGGCTAGATCTTCTCATACTTCTCGCTCTGACCCAGACTGGCCATCTACCCTTCCAAATCAGACTGTGTTCAGCAGGACCAGCAACATACCAGGAGTGATCCAAACATGTGTCAATAAGAATAGTTTGGTTTTCCCAACTGGGAGTGAGAATGAAGACACTCTCTGTTCATTCCATGATTCCAGTTGCAATTTCAGAAGTGTGATCGTCTTCCGCCACCTTTTGGAAGGGTGCAAATAAGAGGGTATTTGGGGTCAGGGGTGATGGACAAAGTAGTATATAGCTGGACCTTGTTGAGGTTTGGTATGTTCTATGTATTGTAATGCTAAATACTGGCCCTCAAGGTCTGGCTGCTCCCAGGGTTGAGGAAATCTTCACATACACCAAGTGATGCTATGTAACCTTGTTTCTCAATTTAGAACTATTGGTTGAATAAAGATGCCTTCAGCTTATAGCTGGGCAGAGGAGAGGTAAGAAGAACTCTGTTTCCTGAGCCTGGAGTCTGAGGCAGAGACCAAGAGGAGTGAGGTGAAGAGAGAGGAAAAGAGAGGAAGACACCATCTGGTAAGGAATTACGAGAACTGGCCATGAGGGCTGGCCAGCCAATCAGAGTAAGAAAAGGTCCAGGTGGAACATGGCAGGTTATAACTTGGGGTTGCTGACAGAGAAGTAGACAAAATAGCTTAGAGGGTCAATATTTGCCTATCTCTAGTGCTTTTAAGGCTTATTATAAACAAAGATTTTGTACCTTTTTCTGGGGACAAAATGATCAAAGGTGGGGTAGAAACCCTCAATTAAATATTTACCACAATAGGATCTGGCCTCCTCTGTCTGAAGATCTCTAACTTCACAAAGCCGGGCTTTGTTGCTTATCCACATGAATCTCTTAGTTACTACATGGGGCTACACATGCAATCAAAAGGTCTTTAAAGGAAATCTAAAAAATATATCTTAAAGCCAGAGTCAAACGCTAAAGAAAACATATGCTTAGATTTATTTTTTTTCATTGAAACAATTCTGACTACAAGATGGATAATATAGTATAAAAGAAGATCAGTCATAATTGGGGATGTCCTCACACCACTCAGTAGCTATTTGTGTGCCTATACCACATAAACAGAAGCAGCACGGGCTGTGCAGTAAGTATTGAGTCTGCATCTTTTGATTCAGTACAAGTGGGCAATGTAGTTAATACTAGAAATTAGCCTCAAGTATAAAATGTAGACCATAAAAATGAACACAGTGCCTTACACATGAACTAGATGTTCCAATGTGACCTAAACACTTCCTGCAAGGCTCTACCTCTCAAAGAGTTCATCCATCACCAAAGGATCAAGCCTCAAACATGTGAACCCCCACAAGATGATGGCAAGTTATATACATTTTATATTAGCAAACTTGAGTGGAATTAGATGTATAACACTCTGCCTTGGTCAGTTTTGCATTTCTAATCATTACTACCACAAAGAGGGACCTACAGAAAGTTCCTTCGATTTAGGTCTGTTCTTGCTTATGTCTCTAGCTGCTTTCCTGGTGAAAATAAGATTTTCTTTTCTTTCTTTCTTTCTTTTCCTTTTTTTTTTTGAGACAGGGTCTTACTATGAAGCTCCGGCTGTCATAGAACTCCCTATGTAAACCAGCCTCATGATCATAGAGTCCTAGCTGCCTTTGCCTCCCAAGTGCTAGGGGCATTCACCAACACACACAGCTGGAAGACAAGAAATCTTTTCAGATACTTTCCCCCTTCTCTTTCCTATCTGTATTGCAACATTTTTCTCACCACACCAGAATTGCTCCTTGATCAGGAATACAATTCTCAGATCAGTTCAAAGGCATCTTCTTGATCCATGCTGCAAGGAAGGAGTGTTGGCGTGGAGGAGGAGGAGGAGGAGTTGTGTGTGTCAACCTTCCTGTCATAATTAGTTTCCTCTATTATACTCCCTACCCAGGGGTTGTCATAAGAACTGCTGGAGTGGGTACCATGAAATCCCACTTTGAAAAAAGGCAGTACTTCTTGGTGCCTAGGGACCAATTCTATGCTAAATGCAGATGCTAACTCAACAACAGACAAATGGGAGGAACGAAACTCCCAGAACAATTTCCCAAATGATTGCAATGCTTTGGTTGATGGGATTAATTTAAGTTCAGAGGAGTATGAGCTAATAGGCTTCAGCTTAGATCTTTCTCCACCAACACGACTCATCGTAAAAGAATGCCCCCACTTCACCATTTATTGGATCAGTTTATCCATTTGTCTTGATAAACCCCAAAGTGTATGTTCTGCAATTACACAAAACAAGGTTATCATGAAAACAAAGATGTATACTAAAACTCATTCCCCCTTCCTTCCCTTTCTCTGAATCTATTTTAGTTTTGAGATCTCCTGAATTCAGCCAGGCACAAAGAACAGAGTCAATCTTGACCCCTTCGCACTGTGATGACATTTACCACAAGACCCTCAGCAGAGGCCAGGCAATAGGAATATTAGCCCTGGAATTCTGGCATCACAAGCTATA